TTCAGAATCTCTGGATTTGTGAGGATGCACGAGAGAGCATTTCCCTTTCTGTATTAGCGTAGCATCAGCCAAGTGAAAGGGAGAGGCCCTTTCACTCATCCTGGCTATGCCAATGGCAGTGGAGTAAAATGAGCCTTTTTTGTCAATGGGAATTGCTCTCAGCACAAACCCATGGTCTGTGACCCCTTCCAGGGGCAGGAGGAATCCAGAGCTCCCTGAGGCTCGCACGCACTGGCGTCTGTGGCAGCTCCTGCTCGGGGTGGGAAGCGGCCGATCGCCGCTGGGTCCCGAGTGGGGTTTAGCTTAGCTTGATTTCACACCGTTACTCTTCGTGTATCCCAAAGGGAGCGCGGGAAAAGACCTCGCCAGGCTGTTGTGAACAGCTCTATTGATGGTAGCAAGGTTTTGTGGAGATGTGATGTGGATTTAAGCCACTTCGGTTTAGTTTCAGTTCATTCAAAGCTCATAAGCAGTTTCTGGACTTTGAGGAAGAAGTTAGTGGCAGCTAGTAAAGGAAATCAAATGCTTAGAATAAAGAGGGCTGGAGATTCGCGTGCTTTGACGCATGTCTCAATGTTCTCATCTAGCTGGGGAAGCTGGGCCATCTACTATATTGATTCTGGGAGAAACCTGTGGCAATTGGATTGGCTAAAAAAAAAAAAAGTCTCTCTAATGAATTTCCGTCCACATTGGTAGACCAGTGTTAGAAAGCAGTAAGCACGTCTCTACTACCAGCATTTCCTAAGGTGGGTGTCTCAAGTACAAACTTGTTTTATTTCTCTGATGGTAGCTACTGTTTCGCTTTGCATTTCAGAATTTATTTTATTATATCCAAAACCTGTGAGCTGTTTCAAGGCTCCTGCCATGCTGGAGATGATGATGAATAGAGTAAGGATTTTTTTTTTAAATACCTTTTAAGGATAAATTAAATGAGAGTTTAAAGAAAAATACAGTATTGCAGCACAATCTCTCACAAACATGTTTTACATGTTTAAAACTTTGAAATCATGATCTTTGACCCTTTATATGCCTTAGATTCTGTTCTCAAAGTGTGCTGTGATATAGTTTAAAGACTTTTCAAACAGTTCCCTACAAAGTGATCATAGAGCTCCCCGTCTTCTAAAAGTCTGGTTTCTAAAGTCATCACCTTTTACATATTTACATCAACTTCTTCATTGCATCATCAAAAAAGCAAAATGTGTATTACAGCATGAAAGCAGCATGAGGTGCAGTGATCAGAGTGCAGTGAAACGAGGCTTTTGAACAGCTTTGCCAAGAAGGTGCAATGAAGCTTCTTAGCATTATCATTAGGTGCCAGCTCCATCTTGCTCTGAATTCTTCAAAGCAGCAGGACTGTTCTTTCATTAAAAGAATATATCTGCTTTTAAAGTAAGAGATTGTTAATTAAATCGTGAAGTTGGCTGCCAAATATTGATGATATTTGAAGTGCAAAGTCAGGACTTGTCAAACAGCTTGATGTGCTATTTCTGGGTGCTTAAGTCCTCCTATGAAGCTGTACTTGGATGGTTGGGCAGTGGGACCACTGTCAGTGTGTGCTTCCTATAGGCTCTGGCCTTGGAGCCCTTCTCAGACTGGGAAAGAAAAGGATTTTCCAAGGAAATTGTTAAATCCATTTGGTCACTCTGCACTTGCTGAGACCACTGACACTGCAGACTGAGGGAAACCAGCTGGCTCTGGGAGCCCAAGTCAGCTAATTTCACGTCAGCACTTCCTCCGGGCTCTTCATGGAAATGCTGACATTTACCTCCAGCAGCTACTCTGCAATTATAACACAACTGTCATGTAAACCTGGCTTTTTCTGTATTTTTGTAGCAAACAATTTAAGTGAGCGGATAGATGTGGCATGTTTTACTTTTGAAAGGATCCATACACATCTCTCCACCCTCTGTCCTGAAGGTTAAACTTGAAAAGAAAAACCTGTACCTGAAACTCCCAAAAAATTAGATCTGTTGGAATCTCCCTGTGTAAAACCAGGATGTTAACTTGGCTCTTTGGACTAGATTATAAAGCCAGAGTGAACCAACCTCCCCAGGAGCAAACGGGTGAAGCCGTGATCACAATTTATGGGTCAGGATTTGTAGGACTTAAGGGAGAAATGGGATGGAAGCAGGGAGGAAAAAAATCTGTCTGAGGGTGGGAGTTGACTAAGAGGGGCTTAACTTCCTGCAGCTTATCCAATTAATCTCTATGACTCCTTGGCTTTTCTGCAGCCCCTAGCAGGTGGGCTTAATGTACTGAACAGCCCACAAGCAAAGTAGAGAGCTTGAGGTGCTCAGAGTGTGAAACAGCTCCCAGCAGAGCGCGGACCGGGAGGCAACATCGTCCCCCAGCTGCGCTGCGCTTGCACAGCCTCGAACGGAGCACGTCCGGAGCCGGCAACTGCGTGAAGGCCCCCAAGCAGGAGATATAAATTAGCTGAGAAGCTCCATCTGTCTGAAAAATCAATTTAAATCCAGCATGGCCCTTGTCGGCAAGCCCACACTGTGACTTTTTCAGATACAACAGAAATGTTGAACGCAACTGTAGTTTTAAGTGCTAACAAGCCTCTGAAGCAGTGATCCCTGAGCCTACTAAATTAGCATCTCTCTCAATAAGATATAGCAGAAAAGTTCGTGACCAGGCAAATTAAGTGAATGTCAGTTGACTTCCACCTCAACTCCTTTGGAAATCAAGTTCTGCAAGTGTTTGCATGATGAAATTGCAGCTTCCCTAAGGTTGTACCCAGTGTGATGGCCATTGCAGCATTGCCTGCGTTGCTGCTGGAAACACCGGTGCTTGTTGTGCAAGAGCCCTCAAGGATAAGGGGTGACTTGTCACTTGCAGCATCTCTCCCTCCATGTGCAGCACACGCTGGCTGTTTGCTCCCTAGCTACCTAGCAAGGGCTGTAATGTAGAAATCATTGCAAGTTGAGATAATTAATCATTGAAAATCACCAGTGCTCCAAGCAAGGGCTTAGGCAAAAGCTTAAGATCCGTTTGCAAGATACAAACCCTGTCGCCTCTTCTCCAAGTTCCAATAATAGCTCTTGTCTGTACGTAGAGCACAAGCCATTAAGTGGTGGGACTGTCTTGAGAAGGTGGCGTGTTGGGCTTACTGATTGTTCTCCACCAGTTGAAGTGAATGGCTGGTTATGTTAAAACTGTACCACACATGGGGATCAGCTAGTCCCATCCGTGCGTACTTGGATTTAGGCACTTGGTCTTTCAGAGTGAGTAGTCTCTGTCTCAGACAGAAGAGTAGACTCTTCACCAATCTGCTAGTGATAGATGGCAAGAGGTGTCTGAAAGTGAAAAATCTTATTTTTGCAAAAATTCTTGAGAATTAGAATGCTGTTGAAATAAAACCTTGGCCTAGAGTTGGACTTCTACTTTGGAACAGTTTGGCTTTAGGATACTTAAGATTTTGGAGTGATTTTTTTGGTAAGAATGAATCTATAGAATTTCTATGAAGATAGTTTTTTCAGTTTTCTTTTTTACTGGTGTATACTTTTTTTAGACCTCAAGATTAGTTAAATTTTGAGGCCCTAAAGAAAGTGCAGTTATGGTAATAAAAAAATGACGATGATGAGGAATCTGCTGCCTTCCTCGTGTGACCTCAGCGACGCGCTGCGGGCGCTGGCTGCAGGAGGCCTCCTGCTCGCTGGCAAGGGCCCTATTCAGAGTTTGCAAATGCCTCATTGAGAGGAAATATCAGCTTTTCAGGACAATTCAAAATATGTTCAGCACTTTTTTCTTCTTTTCTCATAACTTCCAACATCTTGTGTATGTGTTATAAATAAAAAAGGAACTACCTAAAGATGCTAATGAATCTATAGCTCAGTTTTTAGCTGGGAGGAACAGGAAGCAAAGGAAATCTTGGATGGTCCTGAAAGAGCAATCCTTTAAAAATAAACCTAAAACCTCAAATCTCTAGGCTGTAGATTGGAGCAAAGAGAAAGATGTAAAGCCAGGTATTATTAACACAGTTAGTCAAGCTCCCTGCTCCTTTCTGTATGTGGTGTTTTGTTGGAGAGTAGTTTGCTTTCAGCTCATGCAAGTCAGTTTTGCTTTTGGCTTCTTCATAGCTTTGGAGAAACACGGCCCAGTAAATGAGGGACAACTTCTATTTCCCTCCACCCCAATCACAGCAAATGCATTATGTTGTGTTCCTCCGGAAAAATGAAGCAGCATGTTTGCACTTTGAAATAGCTGAGCGTGAATACAGAGCATCTTTGCCAATTGATCTTGAAACCGTTTCATAAAATATTCCAGATTACTTTATTAAACTATCAGAATTTATTTTTCTTACTTTGGGACTATATTTTCAAGCAACAGTCACTGGTCCAATTGGGAATTAAGCCCATTATTAGTGATTCTGTCTGGCTGCTTAATCTAAAATCCAAATCTTTTGTTTTATTCCACCCTGCAGGAGCATGTACTGCCTGATAAAGATTAACAACCCTAAAAATGTAGCACTCTTGCATTAATTTTCCTCTTCCAATTAATGTGTGACACACCTGGAATTACTAATGTCATTCCTGAAATGATACCTAATAGTGCAGGATGGATGAATACTTAAGGCCAACTAGTGCCTTGCTTATGTGCTGTTCTGGGGAATATGTGGACCTCAGAAAACTGTCATATAGCTTTAGTTATATTTTTTTAAAAAAGGAAGTAAATTGCAATGATATGATCTCTGTTCTGGTAAGATGGTTGACAGTACATATGTTCATTTGTGCTTTACTAAGAGGATGATTTTATTTTCTTATTTTTACTACCCAATGTTAAGGGCAGAGGCAGAGAATGAAGGTTTTTTTTTTCTTGTTGTTTTTCAGCCAACTGTCACTCAAGGGAATTGTGACTTTCTTGTGGAGTTCGGCAAAGTGCCCGTCTTTCTCATAAAATAATTTTAAAAAAAGATCATTTGCCTTTATTTTAAAAAGAAAACCAGTCTGTCCTCTGAGAATAGCCCTTTTTCTTTGTTGTTCCTGCATAAATAGGCAAAACACTGAGAACTTTGGCTGAGCATGAAGGGCTGTGTTCCAGGAGAGGGAGGGAGTGCCCACGGCTGTACTTGACTCCAGCAGGAATCCTGTGTGTTCCCTGCTTGGGAGAATCAGGCCCTGTGTTCCTGTCCTGCGGCCCTGGCAATTGATCTCTCCAAGGTAAAATAGCACTGAACCATAAGCTGCAATAGTAACAACATGCTTGAGTTTTTAAAATATTTTTTATTTGCAAACTTCTCAAAAAGAGATGCAAGGGAAATCTTTTTTTTAAATGGTTTTGATTAAAGTTTTCTTTGAAACTTTATTTCTTTCCAGGCAGCTCTGCCAAGGGGACTTTTCTTACTCTCTTCTGTCCTAGTAGTTTCAGATATAGTCTGAAATCAAAACTGTTTTCCCATCACAGTTCTCATGTGATTAAAAAATATAGTAGCCTCTTCATGCAGGAGAGCTACAGGAGCTCTGAAATGAACAGTTCTTTTTCAGGTACTCTCCCCTGTTCTTTTTTGCTTTTGTTTGAGAAGGAAGAAGATATTTGAAGCATATTGCAAGCCAGATCCTACAAACAAGTTCAGACACCTGAAGAAATTGAGATTTTTGTTTTATTTGACAAGATGCTCCACTTCTCCAAAAATTACACTTTATTAGGTGTCTAATATTTAAAAGAAGAAATTAGGACTTTTCCTCAAGGAAGTCGTACTGGTCTGAGAATTTGGCTGTGGTATTGGCTCACTTTTCCTGATCTCTACGTGCTGAAGGTGCATTAATTAACCAGTAGCTGCATAGTTATGTTACTTTAATCTGTGTCAGCCACAGGCGGGAGTGAAGGAGACTTGAGTTTCGTCCATTCAGGTCTTGAGCTCAGGCTCGGTTTCAGGATTGGAAGCACAGCAGAACTAAGTGCTAGGTGAAGAACAGGAGATGGAGTCAGGGAAAGACGAGGTGCCAGGGCAGCCTGTGCTGTGGGGTGAGTGCCTCCCCAGCCTGCTCCCTTGGGTGCTGTTCCAGGTGGGTTTCAGGCCGGAAACAAGAGTTTTCTGAGCCTTTTCTACCAGTGGTTACAGGGAGGATGAACTGATGGTGATTTTTCAAAAGTTGTTCTATTTTAGAGTGGCAAAAATGAGGTAGGAGCCATAATATGTATGATTGCTCCTCCTCAGGCCTTGGTTTGTAACATCCAGAGTGCTTCTTCATGAGCTCTTGACATGAAGCTTTTCTATCTTTGTCACTTAAAATTACATGGAGTAAAGCTCTCTTCTTAAATGTCAACAGCCTGCACCTAGACCTTCTTCAGAAGGTCACTGCCATAGGTACTTCCACAAATACTCCAATACAAAACTGGGCGCACTGGCTCTGTGCAGCCTCTTGATGGATGTACTGCAATAACTCTGAAAACGGTAAATTTTATGAAGTCCTTTACATTACAAATAACAATTACTGTTGCTAAAATGCAGCAATTAGTGGTGTTCATTGAACATTAATGGTGTCCTCCATGTAGGACTTGGTCTCTGCTAGTCATGTGTACAGTAATTTTAATGGCTTTTTTTATGGTAATCGGTAGAGTAAATGAATTGAACATTTCAGTGGAAGTCTGGCAGAATGAATGGAAATTTCAGCATAATCAGAGTGGTATGTTAATTGCCTGAGAACTGCATTAAACTGAATGGCAAAGTGGATGGCATTCAAAAGAATAAGCTGAAAATAGTCTTCTGACTTCAGGATGGCATGTCAATTTAAGTCTTAAAGGCTTTCTAATTTAAATAACTATCTGTGTTAAATTTTACTGTCTGTCATCTTATAAAATCAAAGCAATTAAGTTAATAGCAGAGAATATATTTGAAAACATCTTCGTTGGAACTGGCTGAAAAATTTCCACACAACTGTTTTTGATCACAAATAGCAATTTCATCAGAAATATTTTCAAAAAAGTATGCTGATTTTCAACAACATAGTTAAAATAATTTCTTTAGACTTTAATAGCAATTCTGTTGTTGACTTTTTCATTCCAGTTCTGTCATGAATTTAGAGGATATTCTTACTGATTTCAGATACTTGGAAATGACTAGATTACTTGTGGAATATAACTTTTATTTCTTGACAAACTGTAATCTTATTAAGCACACTAGTTCAATATTTTATTCTGCTACTTGGTGAAATAATCAGTCTATTTGAAACTGCAGAGTGCTTGATTCTATCATCTTGGAATAGATGTTGAGACAAATGAGCTTAATATTATGTTTCCAATACCCAGCACTAGACCTACTTGACTGTGTCTAGTCTAATCTGAAGTACAAGGTATATTGTGAAAATCTTAAGTATCTGCTTAAGTCATTTATGGTTAAAAAGTGAAAAATACAGAGAATTAAAGAACTTTAAAGTATTTGCCCATTTGGGGTAAGAAAATGTTAATCATAGAAGTAAAAATATTCTTGCCAGTGCGTATGAGAAAGCCAACATGGCTGTTTTCTCTCTGCAGGTGTGGTAGATATTGTCATGCTGTTGTGCACTGCATCTTGTGCAGTCCTTTCTCCATTTGCTCAGAGTTCTGGTGTCCGTAGGACGTTCTTCCAGACAACCATTCTCTTTGCCCCATGTTCTGGCGGTGTCATCAAGCTTTTCTCTGTTCATGTTGCTAGCCAAAGCTGACCTTCCTTGCAAAACTCAGTATCTAAGCAGGAAAGAAATCAAATTTTTCTTGAATTTAGGGTCTGTTCCATATCTCCCAAGAGGACTGTGGAGTCAACTATTTCCTAATGATAGACACAGTATTGTGGACTTTAATGGCTGGCCTGGCAGTCTTTGCCACAGAAGTGATGTATGCTCATATGTTTGCAGGCTGCTTTCAGCTTTCACGTGAAAGTGCACAAGGGATAAATATAAGTGCTATAGATTTGGTTGAATTGTATAAAATACTGCAGGAGAAGACACCATTAAGAACTGAAGTGAGATAAAGCTCTTCTTGGAGCCGAAGCAGAAGTGGCTCCGTTGTTATGTCTTCGCTATGCAAGTCATTCCCACAGAACAGGTCAATCCAGGCTGCTCTCTAGTGCCTCACTGATGCAATTGATAAGCAGTAAATTCAAGTAATTAAAGTTTCCAAGATCTGTGGGGCTTGTTATCTCACAGATAGTAAGAGATACAACCATTGCATAAAGTTATTTTGTTACTGCAAGACAGCCTAGCAGCATTATCATGACTGGTCATGTAGTTACTGCACTTTATAGTGTAGGTGCCTGGCATGTTGTTTGTGTCACAGCTGCCTATTATTTTTTCTCCCTATGCTCTAGCATTTCTTCTCCTGACAATAGCTTTGCTGCTGTTTTTGCTCATGCTGCTACTGAACAGGGATTTTTTTTGTGGAGCCCTCTTCTTTTCTAGAAATGCGAACCTCCAACTACTAGTTTTTGTAGGCAATCACAGTCCTAGAACAGTGATCAAGAACTTTAACTTTCATTTTGAGCCAATAATGCTAATTTACAGCAGTGGCCAAATGTGGCAGAAAGGTGTTGTGTGTGGGTGGTTTTTTTTTGTTTTGTTTTGAAGATGCGTGCTGGATAAAGGTACTGAACTTACAGAATCCCTCCCAGGGCAGATACTGTATGCAGTCTCTCTGCTCATTCGTTAGTATAACTACATGCCATGTAAACCCGCCAGGACAGGCTGTTGGATTTTCTTTAGTATCCCATCAGACCCAAATCCCAGAATGAAGGACAATGTCCATCCTCATCTAAGCCCTTTTGCGACTCCTTTGCCTGCCCCTTTGCTCTTTGATCTCTTTACTGGTCCCCCAGGGCTTGGGACAAGAGCAGAGAGAGGCTGCAGCACAATCCTGGCACTCGCTGCGGGCTGTTAAGTCTGGTTAGAAACCTCATCTGTCCCCTCAAGCTCTAAGTATCCATCTATTACTAGATTTTAAATGCTTGACAGTAGTTTACTGGATTTATTCTTCCTTCCTGTCTGAAGATGATTGCTATCATTGAAGTTAAACCAATGAGCCCATGATTTATATCTGTTTTCTTGCTTTCAATCTGTGGAGCAATTATTTAATGCTTTCTTGGCTCAAAACAATGTTCGGAGTGCAGCCCTGTGGCGGGGCCATCACCATTAGTTCATGCTACTGCAGCTGATAATTTTTCAGTTTGTCCAGAAGCGACTGAGACTACAATTAACGACGAAATCATTGGATATCCTGAATTGATGAGGAGCAAATGCTCCAAATGACGGGGAGATGCTTTCCCAGTGTTTCCTACATGGTTACGTTTCTTCTCCTCTTTGTTTAAATAAGTTTGAAGCAACTTTTAATTACTGTCTGGTGAAACTCAGCCCTGTCGGTTTGTGACGTCTCTTGATCTTTTCAGATCTGCAGAGCCTGTATCTAGTGGGACTTGCCTGGAGTTCCTCACTCGTCCAGACTTCCAGAGCAAAGCCAATGTTGAAACAAAGCTGCCAGTTTTCTTCAACTGTACTGCTTTGTTTTTAATTACATTTTGGACAGCTCTGAAAGGTGATCCTTGTAAAGGGAAAAGGTAGCACTCCAATGGCAAAAGAAAATCTGGCATTGAAACAGTGAAAATGTGACTATGGTAAATGCCAGTTTGTAATTCTCTGTAGAGGCAATTTTCCTTCCATTTATTCTGTTTACTTGCCCTGTTTCACTGTGTCTCATCCCCGTAGCATCAGACACAGAACAAAGTTAATCAGCAAGAGATTTGCCTAATTCTGTGAATTAAAATGAAATGATGAGTCTTAGGAAATTTTCCCTGCTCCTAATTATGATAATTAGAGTCTAAAAGAAAAAATAAAATAAAGCATATCTCTGAGGTTGAAACTTTACTTGAATCGTGCTTCCAGGCGCCAAGTGAGTCCTTGTTCCAAACTCTTTGTTCCTTGTTTTAATAGCTCAATCCTAGACCTGGACCAAATCAGGTTGCAAAGCTCAAGTTTGAGTTTTGCCCATTGCTTTCTAATAGTTCCTGGTCACTGGGTGGTTCATAACTCCTTAGGGGAAGGAGTCTTTCCATCCTATGGAGCAGCTGCTGTGGGGCTTTACTAGCAATGTTTTTATGTGAGAAATATCTTCTTGCCTTCCTGAGGCATTTCAACAGCACCTGTATTTCCAAATCTAAATCTTACATGATCCACTCATTCATATTTGATCAGGTATTATAAAAGCTATATACACACATTTTCCCCTGAAAATAAGAAGTGTGACAATAGGATAGTTACACTTTCAAGCACTCCTGCATATTTATTAAGCCATGCATAAATTTACTTGAAGTTTAAACATTGATGTACATGTTTGCATGTGTATCTGAATGGCCCGGAATACTTGTTTTTGAACAGATTTCTCCTCTGTGGTAATGCAAAGCTTTGAAAAATCAATTCTTTTGAGTCAAAGCAGCACTGCTAGAGAGAATTACCATCACTGACTATAATGTACCCAGGAACCAAAAATAATATCTGTTATCGGTCATGGCAGGGAACCTTAGCATAGAGTGAGATAGATTTTATTTTTGGTTAACTATTTTTTTAAGTGAAAATTAACTTAATGACAGCTAGCCAAGAGAGTATATAAGCTGTATATGATAGGTTGCCTGCTTTTTGTTTGCCAAACAATGTCACACACCAGCTGTAGTGTCATCTACACTTAACTTAGCTTAAGAAAAGTAAGAGTGTGGTATCAGGATCTGCTGTTTTCTACTGCACATAATGTATCTGCTTTGATGTGGGTTTCATGGTCACATTCTGTAGCCTTTACATGGCCTGTATTTTATATATGCATATTTATATGTTTACAGCCCCATCAGAATGTAAAAGTTCGATTTATTTGGCCTCCTAATAAATATGGTGTTATTAAAATGTCTAAAATGTACTAGGAGGTCTTGAATTTTTATGATAGATTATGGGTTTCTACAGCTACATGTAGAAATAAAAAGAATTTCTATCCAATACTAAAATGTAGAATTAATGATTTTTTTTCCTTAAAAATGTAAGCAAAACAGAACTTAGTTTACAGGTAAGCTAGAAGTTCCTGTAACGGGAGGAAGAGCCTTTTGTGACTTTTACAGGGTGCCACGAGCAGAATGACAAGAGCTGAAAAATCCCTGCTGATACTAAATGGTAAAAATCAGAGAGTTTAAGTGAGGCTCAGTGCTGTGTTTATTTTGAAAAAATGCCTGCACTGTTTCCTTTCGGTCTGCCTTTTCCTTGCAATATCTAGGCTTTCACTTAAAAATAACTTTCTCCCTCTTTTCTGCTAGGAAGTTATTAGCTATCCTTGTGTAAATCTGTGCTGACACATGTTAATTCAACCTTGCTGAGAACTGTCTACTATTAAATTGCAGTGGCAGCAAATCCATAAACTCTAGAATTTACTGAGGGTCACATCAGTATTAAGATGCATCAGCACCACAGTCTCAAGCGCTGCTCCTGCAAATGCCTGTGCTCCCAGGTAGCCCTGTGAGGCCCCAGAGAAGCAGAGAGGTTCTTCTAAGGACAGAGCTTGAGCACGAGCCTTCCTGGATTGTGAGCATCTTTATTCAGGGGGAATAGAGATCTGGTGGGAAGCGAGCTCGCTTTATTCAGCCTGTGTAAGTCTGTGGATAAACCACATTAAAAAGAGGAAGGTCGATTTTGGAACTGTGGAACGTGCTTTTTAGTAACCTCGTGCCAACAACAGTGTCCTTGGTCCTGGGTAACATTTACTAGAGGCGCGTAAATGAGCAGACACATGAGCAGAGATGATTATAGAGATGAACAAATGGCACTCGTTGTCCCCTTGACTGTCCATTTGGTTTAGGAAAACAGATTTTAATAGAAAGTGGAGCTTTAACCAAGAACAGCAAAGCTTTGTTGTATTGGATTGTGCTGAATTATACAAGAGACCTCCCACGCCTGAGGGTTACAATCCACAGATTGAGCAAGGGGCCACAGATGGCTTGAGATGACGGGCAGGGAATGAACAGGGAGTGAGGTGACAGCGCTGGTCAGCCTGACAGTCTCTGCACACGAGCTGCCAAACTTGCTGAGGTTGTTTTTTTGGAGGTATCATTAAAATAAGACCAATTTTGGCCTGTGGCCGTGGCATAGAGCTGGTCTAGGAATGTATTTCTACTGTGATTAAATGTATTCCTGTTCAAATGTATTCCTGTATTCCTCAGTGCTAAACTCTTGGCTTTGAGCACTGCTTAAGCTCATTGTATTCAATAGGGCTTAAGTTGAGGGCCCTAGTGCAGTTGGGATGACTTGCTGAATCAGGGCCCTAGAAAACAAAAACTCTATTTTCCGAGATAATGAAGTACACGTGATAATGCAGCTCTGCAGAGAAGAGGCAGCACATGTGGATGAGGCAGTTCAGTTTCCACAGGAAGGGATATTTCTAAGCTACAGAAGTGCTTATGGAATCATGGCTGTAATTTTAATACCATCATTTGGGGACTTTAAATCTCCAGGAAGGTTTAAGAAATATGCTCTGTAAACAAAACTGTGATTGATAATATACCTGAGAATGAAAACACAAAGGAGAAGAAAATCCGTATCTCAAAGCTGGGGGATTTCAGTGCCTGTGTAGAGAAGTGTTTCATAATTCAGTAATAATGTAGCTGTGCATTAGAAGATCCACTATAAGAAAAACATGTAGTTCCATTTTTAGTGTTTTTTCTTCTTTTCCTAAATATAGATATACCAGACCTCTTGCCCAAGCTAGTTGATGCACAATGAAGGGTTTAGGAAAAAACGCATGCAGAAAGATGCACAAAAAGTAGTTAAGTGCATATGCTTGTACTTGCAGGTAGTTATGCAATATGCCTTAAGAAAGGAACTCTATTGTATATTTGTTGTGTTTCTTGCAAGTATTTACATAAGTAACTGTGGTCCTTTATCAAGCAGAAGTAAAATAGTTTTTTTTTCCTTCCTCATCCGTTGATGTCAGATGAGCTCCTTTATATCCTTGGAGTGTGTCACAGATTTTTTTGCCAAGGATGCTGGAATAAGGACTAAACCCTTATAGCCAGTAGCACTTGAATTTGTCCTTTCTGGGAAAAATATCTTCACCTAATGCCCTGATTTGCAATCCTCTGAGGAAGAAAGAATGTTTTCTCTCTGTGGTAATGGTCCAGCCAGGAGAATGTCATTTAGCACCAAGGGATGTCAACATCACAGAGCATTTGCTAATTTCATCAAGATTAATCTAATTCTTGGCACTTGGTCCTAAATCATTGGCGACAGCTCATGGCAAAATGGGAAATATCCCAGAGACCAATGACACTTGCTACAGCTTTCCCTTCAGCAATAGCACTTCTGACGTATTTATCTTAATTAGCGGCAACAGGAGAAAGAGAGAGATGGAGAGAAATTCAATTGAGTTTGAGCAAGATCATAATTAAGAGTGTTCGCTGTACAATTCCAAATGTAGATTTCTGACACCAAGAAGACAAGTAGTTCATTTAAATGAAAGAGGAAAAAATGCAGTTTACTAGATTTTTTTTTTGAAGTGTTAGCGCATGTTTAGGGTCTGGAGGTGATAAAGTGTAGAGGCCCCCATGGAGTGGGGCTGGAATGTCCATGTCCATGCTCTGTATTTACCATCTCTGTAGTATTCAGCACCAGAGTGCCTCAGAGCAGTGTGCAGAGTAACTTGGCAGCACTTCTCTGTATCTCCATTTTCCCTGATTTATGCTTGTAATAGTGCAAGGCGAATCAGACTTGGGTAATATTTTATTAGTATATCCCCACTTTTTAATCCAAAAGCTTATCATTACTAATTTATAAACAGCTATTGTATTTATTGTTGAAACTGAGAAAAACCCAGAAATTCTGCAGTTTCAAACTAACCTCATTTTTCTCTTTGAGTTTTCCAGGTTCATTTTGTCCATCAGTGAAAGAGTGCTCTGGAAGGAGACCATGTTCCTTTGGCTCCCTTAAAGAAATGGAACAGCCTGGAAACAGCAGGAAAGAGCGAGACCGTTGTTCAGAGGAGCAAGCATGAGCAAAAGGCAGAGCCCCTGTGCAGGAGGAGGTTGTGCACCAAGTCACAGGAACAGGTCGTCCAGGCCTGTGCGGAGCCCAGAGTGGGAGCCATCCGATAGCTTCAAGACAAAAGGTAAAAAAGACTTGTGAAAAGCAGCTAGCAAAGGACTCCACGTGGCTTTATTAATGATTTGGGATTTTTTTGAAAACTACTCTATGCCTTTTTTTTTTAACAGCTCGCTTTTATAGTACTTGGTTTTGAACTGTGGAGTCTAACAAGTGCCTGTGCAAAATTAAGTACACCTAATTTATGTAGGCTCTGATCAGGACTGCATAAAAGAACTGCATGCACAAAAGCCCTATTACCTGTATTAGAGATATAGCTTACATATGTCACATGGTAATTATGTGCCTAAGGTATCAAAAAACCTGCACTCAAAGGAAAACTGAAAGTTAGTTGAAGGCCAACTTTGAGAATAACGTTGCTGCTCACACCAATATTTCTGCTCCCTAGCTAACTGGATTGCTTCTGGGAGGTGAGCAATATTAAAGTCATCCTTTTTCCCTGCTGTCAACTGCATGAGGTGCATTTTCCCCTTATTGACAAGGACCTAATAAGCTCAAATCTGCTCCCTTTCATCTTTTGGAGATACTGTACTTATATTGAAGGACACTTGGTCTTACAGATAGATTTCCCCTTCTGTCAAATACTTGGAAAACATAATCCCCTGACCAGCTTTACCTTGGAAGGCAGATAGTCATTATTACAATTCATTTGACAGAAGCAGGTGCTTACTGCAGAACCCCCGCTCAAACTGATGCATGTGTCCAGCCTTATGAAAAGCAAACGTTCCTCAGCAAGAGACTGCATATGGGAATTAAATGTTTAACAGTATAAGTTAACAATTCCGGATGAGAAGTAAATGGGAAATCCTTCCAAAAGCAAAAAAAAAAAAAAAAAAAAAAGGGAAACGTCACCCATCACCTTGCCAAGCTGTGCCCTGTGCAGGCGCCGTGTGTAGCTCGTGCCAGCCTTGCCCAGAGGAGCGTTTTCATTATGAGCAGTAGAGAAACTTCAGGCTCAACCTCTTCTGAATTCTGCTTTGCTGAAGGGAGTGATTTTAGCGGGGCTTTCTGCGGAATGAAGTGACTCGACTAGAGACTGTAGATTTGCGCCTTTAGTAGTTAGTTCATTGCACTGTAGCTAGGGGGTTTGCTTGGTGGATGTGAGCACACAAATGTTTTGAGCAAGCAACTCTGTCTTGCTTAAAGAGATAAAGCTGAATTTGACTTTTTTTTATAGAAAATCCACGAAATTTGTGGAGAATCCAGGCAGACTGTGTGGGGGCTGTCTCTAATCTGTCCTTAGGAAGATCCGCAGGGAGGAACTTGCCCTGCTGTGGGTGCAGAGCCACTCAGCGGTTCTGGAGAGCTCATGTTCCAAGCTGGGGAACGTAAGGTCTAATTTTTGAGAGAGGGAGGGGAAGTAGTATTTTTTTTTCTCGTGAATTCTGAATAAGCTTCAGAATCTTGAAAGGACTCAGTGGAGTTGGGGTTGTGGAGGGGTAAGGTGGGGCTGTGGCGTGTCACTCGGTGCCGTGTGAACAGTTGCGTGGAAACGTTGGCCCCATCCGTCGCCGAGCTTGGCCCAGCCGCACTGGGCTCATGCAGGCCGGGGGTTCTGCACATCCATAACCACCCTCAGAGTGGCTGCCTTCAGCCTGCCCGTTTGGAGTTCACAGGAATTAAGTATTCACATACTAATCTAGTTTCATGTTTGGCTGTGTCTGTTGTTAGAAACGTTGCACTGATGTGACAGGAGGGGTTAGATGTTTGTGTGCGCTCCTGCAACGCTTCACTTGCTCCACTTTGGCGTTTTGTTTGGCATTCTCTTCTCATTTCAGAGACTTGATTCTGATTTTGTTACACTTGAGATTAATGTTTGTTTGCCTCAACCTCTGTGACTTTATTTTGATGTTTGTCAGTTTGACATTGCAACCTAAGAGTCTCGTTTTTGACCTCTAGAAATCTTAGTCTTGGTCTTGAAAAATTAAAGCTTTCAAGCTATGCAGTAGAACTTGGAATTTTTAGTAGATGTCAGTCTTGTCTCAGATTAGAAAGCCGTGTAAACGTACAAATCCTAAAAGCTTAGAATGGAAGTGCTCAAACACCTGCATGTGGAATCATTTCTTCCCTAGAGTGGGTTCCTGTTAATCACTTCAACTTTCTTTCCATCCTGTTTCTCAATTTGTGCACTTTTTGCCTTGTTCTATGAGATCTGATTTTAGTTAAATGTCTGTTCAGTACATTATAGGCAAAATGAGCTTTCCTGTAAATTAGTTTAAGTTTTTTAAACCATGTTTTGTCATATCCCAAAGAAGGCAACTATATTGCTTCTAGTCTTTTCAATGAATTACATAGTAAAATATTTGCTTTTCTTTTTGATGAGCTGGAGATGCTCTACAAGTGCTCTATTAAGGCTCAGGGGAAATTAAAGGTGCCGTGGGCTCCTGTATTGGCAGTTTCCATAGGAATGACTTTTTTCCTCCTCTGGTATAGAAAGGGGCTACAAAATTGCCAAACTTCTCACTCACCCTCTAGTCTCTTCATGCCTCACAGGTGCTCCATGGGAAGCCCCCTATGATGTCTTCTCTGGGAAGAAAACGGTTTTGTGTGTATGTTGAGTTAATTCTAAAATCTCATATGTCATTTCCTTAGGTGCTATTTCCATAATTATTTATGTGGATTCAAATCTTGCAGCCACGAGGGAAATATAGAGTGGGGAAAAAAAAGAGTGTTATAAATAAAAAAAGGAAAGAGCACAAAACCCCCCAGCTAGCACCTGTCCGCACAAACCCCAGACCTGATCCATTGCCTATGAGGAGATCTTTGTTCTGAGCCTTTTTAGCCTCACTGTGACAGTCATAATTTCAACTCTGTATGAGACAAGAGAAAAGATGCATTTCAGTTTTTTTATTGACTAATTGTGATCTTCACGATCTTTGACTCCTTACCTGTAACACAGAGACAACCTGTTCACCTCTTCCATCAGGTTATGACTTGTGTGGAAGTTTCTTACTTCCAGTAGATCATTTCTGGGTTTTGAATATTTGAATAGTCCTTTCTGTCTCTGTGCCTGTTCCAGCTCTTGCCCCCTTCCAGTTCTGCTGTGTGACAGGTCCCTTGTGTGTGGGCTGCTCTCCCAGAGCTGTTCTAACTCACCCCGTTGGGCAGATTTGCTGCTGGGCTCCACCCGACTTTGCCAGTGTGGTCGCTGCTTTGGCACCTGCCACAGCTGTAGGGCAGATCCGTGACCAGCAAAGGGCACTTACTGGAGAGATTAGGTAGGCAGGCAGATTAGCCCTTTGCTTCCCTTCCTGTGGACTGGAGGGTTGTTTCTGCTCAAGCTATAGCGATTGACCATAGTCCAGTCCTATTGCTTTTAGCAACAAATAACCAAGTCCAATGTTGATGGCTAATTGATGGGCTGAATAGTGCATAGCAAGTGTTTTAATTTTGGCCTGTCTCGGAAGTCATTAATGTTACAGAAATTAATTATTGCATGCACCTAAAATTGCCTTTACCAAATTGCATTTCTTCCTGGGAAGATTACTTAGCGGATATCATTCCGTTACTGTCATTGCACTGTAAAGACAAACGTTTGCATTGTGTTATCTCAACTAAACTTAAGAGTCTATAGTCTTGCTTTATTAAGCATCTCACACGCATATTTATAGATTTTTCTCCAGCTCTGGCTTCCAGCTTCACATCAAGCAGTTCTCTGCAGGGAGTGCAGAAAATAATTCTAAGCCTGTAATGTTCATCTTTCCCTGGCATGCCTGATTGTGATATATTAATTATTTTAAAATAACATTCATTAAAACTTTGCTCATCCCTTCAAGATTTTGAAATCAATGTCAGGGAAAATGAAAGCCTTTGTTTCAAATTTTCTCTCTGATTATCTTTGCTCTAATTGACTTTTGCTCCTCTCCAGTCAAGTTTTAATTTCCTCGTGGGGCTGGACGAGGCTGCCTGTTTCCATTTGCTGTTCTGCCTTTGTGACTCCATAGTTTTGGTCTGCTCTTGTCCTTGGGGAGGGAAAGTGTCTGTATTTCTAAGCAGTATATAGGAAAGATCTATTTAATTTTTGTTTTTATTTTTGTTTTAAATGATATATCTAAATTTAGATTATTTTTAACTATGAAACTACAAAACACACCAAAGCACACACCAAAGCTTAGATTCCCATTGAAGTGTATGAAACAGTTAGTTTACCTGTGAGGCTGTTGAAGTGAATTAGAACTTTATCACTATTATAGTCACAAGAACGTGATCACATCAGTGCCATGTAATAGACATTTTCTCAGTATTTTGTCTTTTTAGACGATGTTAATGGTCTGAAATATACTGTGTATTTTGAGAGTGCATTGCCCCCAGCCTCCAAACCCTCACAACCTAAAACAACAGCAAACCCAACCAATGCTGCCTGGTATCACAGCCTCCCGGGGAGGTTCATTAGCTAATAAACCAGGAGCAAACCAACACTTGGAGCATAAAGGGAAGCCTGAACTCAGTGAAAGGAGCCGTTTCCCTGGATGCTCTCAGGCCTTCACCTTCTAGTGGCAGCTCACTTAGTGTCCTCCGAGGGATCGGAAATGAATATTGTATCTACTATTACAGTGTTTTTGTGTGCTGGAGACAAACACGGTTAAATTGAATGTCTAAAATCACTGCCAAATCTGACAATGTTATAAGGAAGAAGATATTTGTAGGGATGGAGAAAACTTGCCATAAGGTAGGCAAAGCACAAGGAAATGGAGAGAATAAGCTGCATCAGAGAATGAATTAAATCTTGCTTGTTGGTAAGTACTGTCTTTGAGTGCAGTGCAGAAGACAGCATCTCCTACACAGAATATTTTTAATACTCTTCAACGTGAGAAGGAGTTACTGTATCTCACAGTATATGTTTGCCAGCAGACTTTATTAACTTATTAAATCAGCAAGATGAAATAGCCACTTTGTTCCATTTAATTTAAAACAATAAAACTAAATAATAAAATTGTGGCTTCATATAGTCATCTCATGTTAGATAAGAAAGCCTTTTATTCTATATTAGAATTTCTTCCAGTCTTAATGAACTATTGTTCACACTTGCAAGTTTAAATATGTGACAATATATAGAGTCTGTGTCAATGTGCCATTCCATGTGAAAATTTTTGTTTATGAGAATGTTATTCTTCCAAACTTCCCTGTTCCTGAGCAAGTCCCTGAGCAAGTTACATCAATGGTTCACTGACATTGCATTCCTAAATTTGATTCGGGTGCGAGTGTCCTACTGAGGGTGTAATTGCAAGGTACAGTTGATATTAGGGTTTCGAATAGGATTTAAAAAATGGAATGGTGGTAGGAGAGGCAAGAATGACCAGAATTTTTATATATATTATGTTATATATTATATATAATTTTATATATTAATATTATATATATTATAAATCCTCAGCTTCAAAGTTTAATCTGTCTTATAACTCTAAGCATGAAGT